AGGTAAGTCATAATTATGACTTAGCTATCTCATAATTATGACTTAGCTATCTCATAATTATGACTTAGCTATCTCATAATTATGACTTAGCTATCTCATAATTATGAGATACTATCTCATAATTATGAGATAACTAAGTCATAATTATGAGATACTATCTCATAATTATGAGATACAAGTTTTATTTATTTTTTTATCAGGGTGGCGGAAATGGGCTTCCATAGAATGTTTAGGAATCCCTGCTTTAGACTGTCATAAGTTACTGAAATTCAAAAAATATCTACAGAAATGTTTTGTTTGACATTTTGCAATGCATTGTGGGTAAAAATATCAGCATTATAATTTTTATTTTGACCTGTACCATGTATTTGACAGGGCAATTGGGTTCAGCTATGTGTTAAAGGTGTTTACTAATTAAAAGAAAAAAAAAACTATTGGGGGAGGAAAAATCCAACTCTGGGGGGGTTTATTGTGAAAGCTGCAGGTCTGCAGCAGCAAAGTGACACATGGGGACTTCAGGTTCTCAGTGCTCATTTCCTGTGTGTCGAATGTGTGGGACTTCATTTCTGAGGTGAGCTGAGTTTCTGTTCAAGTCTTTTGTGGTTCAGATCAACACTAAGTTTTTAATATTTTTTCCCCCTTCTTCTTTGTTGCTAACGCTGCAGCCATGACAATGAAAGGTTTCTCCTGCACACAGACCAGGCTGTGGTTTGAGCGGTTTGCAACATGAAGCAGTAGATAGCAAACTGCTGTCACAGAATAAAGCTTTTAAAACTGTTTAATATCTAAAGTATAAAGGAATTCTTTAAAATTAAAGTAAATGAATTGTATTTAATTTAAAGTTGATTTTTTTTCCTTTTAGTTTTATAAAATGAAAACTTGTTCCATATACTGTATGTAAGATGTGTGATGAGGACGCGCCCACAGGGAGTCGCTTTTGAGGAAGACGCTTTTTGTGTCAGCAGCTCGCCTCGCGCAGGTTAATTCCTGTCAGCACCATGTGACCGTCAGGAAAACACACTAAACCAGCAGCTGCTCACATCTCTGTTCCAGGAATTACACGCGGATTACTGTTTTCAGTTCAGTTTTTCTTCTCCAAAAGTTTCCCAGAAAACAAACGTCGCGCCGCGCGTAAAGAAAGACGATGTTCTGGTTCCAGCGAGGTCTGTGCGCCCTGCCGGCGTTCCTGGGCGTCTGGTCCTCCGCCACCTTCATCATCTCCTTCATCATCGCCGTTTGGAGGCAAGACATCGATGTTGTCTTCCCCTACATCAGGTAGGAGTCGCAGAAAACTTTCTTTTTTAAAATTTTTGTCTTCAAACTGAGATTTGTTTGAAACGGTTTTAGTTTCGTTTTGTCGCTCTGGCAGGACGCCCAAACTGCAGCTGTGCGTAAAACCCGTTTTTTTCCCCCTGGAAATTATTATTATTATTATTATTATTATTATTATTATTATTATTGCATCACTTATTAAAAAAACAAGAGACTTGTATTTGAGAATTAAGAATTTAGTTAAACAATGTCAAAATGTTAATAAAAATATTAAACTAGTATGAATCTCACACATCCATATTTTCATTTTAATCTGAAATTGTTGAACAGATTACGGACTTCCGTAAAGTTAAATTAACCTAAACAAAGAGGAAGCTGTACAGCTGTACAGTTTTACTCTCAGGGCTTGATATAAATGGAAACTTTCAAGAAGCAAAAGGAAAGGGAGGTTCACTTTACTGCTTCCAGCCAACAGACCTTGAAAACACTAAAACAGCTCTGACTCTGTGAATTTTACAGCTTATAAAAATAAAACTTACCATGGTAATAGCTGAGATATAGGTCCAAAGCTCGTACGCTGAGATCTAATGGATTGCACAAGTTCTTTGTTTAAAATCTGCTGTTATCTTTCAGCCAGCTCTGTTTGTCTGTTAGCAAAATATCTCMCAAACCACTGGACAGATTTCCGTGAATCTTTCAGAAAATAATCCATGGATAGCCGTCTTTAATTGATTAACTTTTGGAGGCAGTCAAATTTAAGATTGCCTCTACAGCAAGCTCATTTTAGGAAACACAAATATGGCAAAAGCTTAATCAATTTTACAGATATTGAGATAAAAACAATGTCGGAGTCATAGCTGAGAATCACAACACAGAATACCAAGTGCTATTTATTGTGCAAGATATTTGCTTAAAACTTTAGCATTAACGATTTGAAGCCAACTGTCTGTTAGCAAAATATCTCAAGACCGAATTGGTGGATTTTCATGAAACTCCCAGAGACTAATCACAGGATATTTACATCTACAACTGATTAAATTCTGGAGTCAATCAAATGTAAGTTAGCTGCCACAGATGACTGATCTYAAAATCAGAGAAATAGCTCGGACTCAGGCAGCTTTACAGGTATTGAGCTGAAAGTTGTTGTGGTAGTAGCTGAGGGTCATACACTTTGCTCAAAATCTTCGTATTTAAAGTTTGAGGGCAACTTTGTTATTTGTCAGCGTAAGATTATCTTAATTTTCACTAAAGACGGCAAGTTTTAATGCCTATGTTCTGAAAAATTATACTTTTGTCTTAAAGTATAAAAATGATGAAATATAAGTATAAAATTTCTATTTTAAAACTTTTACTCTAAGGTGATGTAAAGGGTTATTTACATGGCTGTTTATCCGCATTCTTTATTCTCAGTGACACGGGTGCAGTCCCCCCGGAGAGCTGCTTTTTCGGCCTGATGACCTTCATTTGTGCATGTGCAGGTACATCCTCAACTTCATCTTTGAACTGTTGGCCAACTCTGGGCTCTCCCAGGACGGGAAGTAAACTTCCCAACAACGCTACTCCTATTTCCTTTTTTTTTTTTTTTTTTTGCAAAGAAAATTAAAGATTTCTTAATTGGAAGACTGACTCAGGAGTGGTTTGTGGTTTAACGCACAACGTGACTTTTGCACAGGAATTGGCACTGTATATGCCAGATATAAGTTTGTGCAGAAGCTGATTGAGGAAAACAATGTGATGAAACCGTGCTGCAATAAAGCCTCCCTTTTATTTGGGTTGGGCTCCTGCTTTGGGATGTCGGTCGTTGCAACTTTTCAGGTATGTCCTCACAGATTTTGTCGTGTAAATTTCAATCTCTTAAAAAAATAGTTTGATCTTTTTTTTTTTTTTTTGCTTGCAGGAAACAGCTGTAAGAATATTCCATGATATAGGAGCCTTGTTGTTTTTTGCCTCCGGTGTCGTCTACATGATCACCCAGTGTTGGATATCATACACAGCACATCCATATGACTGCGCCAGGAGTGTGTCTGTGGTGCGTGTGGGTCTCACGGTCATTGCTGCTGTTGCAATATTTCCCAGTATCCTTTAAAAGAAAAAAATCAGCCACATTTGGATTGTTGGAGTCCTTTTATTTTGCCTGCCTTGTACATCATGTTAGTTGTGTGTGAAAAGTGTCACATTTTTTCTTTAATTAATCCTCCAGCTATAATTTGTGGTCTTCTAAGCAGCAAAACGTCGCTGCACTGGGACAAAGAGGACGAGGTAAGCTTTAAAASTTCAGCGTATGTGTTGGGGATTACTCTCCACCATAATGTGTTATAAGTAAACGTGTTACAAAACGTTAAGGGGTTTTATTATCAATGGGGTTTCAARTGCTGGTGTTAGARTTCATGTTTTATGGCGTTTTGACCTTGGCCTCTAAATCCAACATAGCTGCTTAAACGTTGTCTAATTACTTTTTTATACTTCTAGATCTAAAATGAATCTAACAAGTAAGCATTTTGTTTCTCAGCAACCCTGTAGGTGTTCTGATTGTCTGCGTCTATGAGCTTTAAAGGCAGCATGTTTCTAAAAGCACAGGAAAACCACAAACAGAAAGAAAGCTTTCGGTATGTTCTAAAGAATGTAAACAGTGGTTTCATGGTGATGGTTGCAGTTTTCAAAGTAAGACGCTCGTTTGGGCCCAGAGCTGCAGCTCAGCAGCTGGTGTAGCTCCAAACTACAAAGGTAAAATGTCAAAACAATACATGTCTGTATATTTTTATTGCACAGCAAAATTCAACGTGTGTTGCTCAAAATTGCTGGCCTATATTCAAAACACTTGATTCCACTGGTTTTCCACTTTGAAGCTGAGTTTCAAGTGATAAAATTCACCCCATGTTAGCGTTTAGCCTAACTAAATGTTAGGTTAAATGTTAACATTAGCATATAGCCCTGTAGCTTCTATCTAATCTTTTTACATCTTCTAACAGCATTCTCTTTTTTAACTCTGTAAACTAAAAGTGTGAATACGCTCCAGTCAACTTTGAAGTTGGAATTTTCATTTAATGTGTAAAAAAAAATGAAAGTATCAAAAGTAAAAGACAACTCAAGAAGTGTGTCACAACTTCCAAAAAGGCTTCCTCAAGCACAAAAGTGGTAGATGCTGTAAATTATCAATTTATTTGCACTTTTGTCAGATTATTCCTCATTTAATCAGTTACAAACAAATTTAAATWGTTTCTGTCAATAAATATGTAGCTACTGTGTTTTAATGCGTTAAATTCAGATAATTAGCTGTTTATGCYAATAGCAGTTAGCGTGGTAAATGAGCCCAATTAGCATATCTCTTTGATTTTGCACTTTTCAGGTAAACCACRTTTAATTTGGGTGTTATTGTTCCAAAATTTTAGTTCTGACATCTGAGACCACATTTCTTATTTTATTTAAAGATTCTCTTAATCCCTGTCTTGCAGCAATACGCCCTCCACCTGACCAGCGCCGCCTGTGAGTGGGTCGTTGCCTTCAGCTTCGTCTTCTTCTTCTTCACCTACATTCATGACTTCAAAGTGAGCATCAGATTTCAGAAATCCCTGACATTTTTAGTCTTTGTTGTTTATGTTCTAAATGTTTTCTCTTCTTATTCCTGACAGCGGTTCACCTTGCAAGTGACTACAGTATATGAGCAACCGTTTTGAACGCTCTCAGCACCACTGAGATTTTTTATTACAATCCACATAAATTTGCAGGATTTTTAAACTGTTTACACAATTATTTAATTTTTTTTGTCAGTTGCTGATTTTATAATAGATTTTTATATATATTACTTTGTCAGATGGGATGTCATAGATGAAAGTTTGTATTTTTATAACTTTTTTACATATTTTTATGAATACTTTATTACATTATTTTGCACTTTTTTCAACTGTTGCCACACCAATATGAGATGCATCCTGTGAGGCTTGTGACCAGTAATAGGAGAACTTAATCACAATGAACACATGATCACAATGCATGAAACAAAACCTTCAAACTTATGACTTTAAATGAGTGTAGGTATTCTTACACTGGGTAGTTTTTAAAATCTGCAAGTCTGAAATTTGACTCCATTATTTGGGTGCTGACAGTTCCCTGTGGGTTGTTTTTCTCTTCTTTTATTGGATTACTTGTTTATGACAACAAAAGAAGATGATGTTCATAGTTAAGATATGCCTTCCTTGTGAAAATCTGTTCCAGCACACTTAAATTAATAATAATAATAATAATAATAACTATTTATAGAGCGCTTTCAAACAAAATGCTGAAAAGGAAAAAAATCATTTCTAAAAATAGATTAACAAAAACACATCAAATAAGGCACGAAAGACAAACAAAACCTTTAAATCACATAAGATAGTGTGAACATGTCTTTAACTCATGCTTTAAAAACCTCCGCAGGACAGTTGATGACCAATTAGCACAAAAGCCATGAAAATTGCTTAAATAGGCTTAAAACACGCAAATCATTGAGATGATTTTATACATGTTCRTGAAATATCACCATTTCATYCACAACTAAAGAGCACTAAGGCAGCTAGCTTCACAGCTACATTTCTACTGTAACACAATAAAATCAACTAAAACTCGTGCAGCTTCGAAGTTTAAAAGGATTTGACTGAAACAGACCAGTCGCTGCTCCTAATTTCACAGGTTTCACCCAAGTTACAAACTCWCCAAGTATTCCTCCGTAACTCGTCAGAAATGGTGCACAAACTCACTCGACACAAGGAAGAACAACGAAGCAGTCAGGAAGTAAAGTGCCTTAAACGTGTTGCCCCTCGACACTTTAAAAAAAAAAGGGTCTCAGGTCTGACTGAAGCCATCCGGTGATTGTGCTCAAGTGTTATTAATCAAASGAAGACTGAAGACGATGTCAAAATGCATCACAAACTTAGGAGAACCTGCCAACCTCTACACTATTACTGCTGTAATTACAAATGAAATTAATTTTGTACTTTGCTTGTTACACGATGTACTGTAAAGATCATTTTATGGTCCTTWTCTGGAAAAATAAACTGCTGTTTTATAACAATGTGTGTTTATTAGTGAAAAATCAGAACAAAGTGCTTTATACATTGCTTTTTCATACATTCACAGCACTTTTCATTTTTTACAATTATTTTTACACTTTAAGACATCTGCTTCAAGAAATTTATGTACCTTTAGGTGCAACTTTGTCCAGGCTTGTGATAGGAGTGCAGGCACGAAGGCATGCTTTTGACTTTTGAGACATTAAAAAAAAAAAAAAGACGACTTATCTTTCAAGAAAATTAATAGAATTGGAAAGAAAAAAAACTATAAAACAAAATTGGGGAGACTGATTTGACTACAAGCAAATCCTTTTCAGTCCATTTTTACAGTAAAATTACAATCACTGATTAGTGTCCTTCAGTCGCTAAAAGATGATTCGCTGTCTGAGCTGGTGGCGCCGACATCATCCTCCGTGCTCCTCGTTGCCACGTCGGGCACAGGTGCGTCAGGTGTGCTGTTAGCACAAACGAGCAGGTTACAAACAAGTTTATTGAACATTATAAGATAAACTAATTTAACAGTAAAATTCTCACTCTAGCAGGCTGGGATCCAAACCCTCCATCACCATTTTATTCCGAATGGCCATCACTGGTACCCCCTAAGATAAATAAGACAGAACATTAAGATACAAAACAAAACACTTTTTTTTTTTTAAATCTAGTCTTTGCATCCTTACCACTTGGACCATTTTTAGGTAACGAGCGTAGCGTGAGTCTTTAGCTACCGTCATGACATTCTCAGCAGCCACTTCTGCTTTCTGTGCAGGTGCAGCCTCTGATGAGGCGTGAGCAGGCTGCAACATGAAAAGAAATAAAAAATGCAAATCATAAGTCAGGCTGTGAGGAAAGAAACAGCAGCATCTACTTTTTAAAGCTTACCTCGAAGCTTAAATTGTAAYGTCAGCCTAATCTCTGAAGAAACAGATATTTAAATGTTCGAAAACTTTCTTTCAGCAGAGAAATGCTTCTCTATATTTGTTTATTTTCATCTATTGTCTTGTTGCGAGGCAGGTGGCCTCACGTCTGACTCYAGAATACTTTGGTTCACGGTTGACTCAGTTACAGCAAAGTGTCCAGATCCTGTGGCTGCAAAATRAGTCCAAATCCTCACATCTCCACTACCGTGCTTTACAGCTAAGATGAGGCTCCTGTGCCTTTTCGCTGTGCCTTTTTTATTCTAAAGCTCATGACCACATTTGAAACAAACAAAAAAAAAAA